AAAATGTGGTACATATACACGATGGAATACTACACAGCCATAAAAAAGAACAAAATCATGAATTTCGCTGCAACCTGGATGGAACTAGAGTCTATAATACTGAGTGACCTCTCACAAAAACAAAAATCCGAATATCACATGTTCTCACTCATATAATGGACCTTGAACATCCAATGCAATACTATGAGAAAATGACGGATGGTACTGGGAAACTATGGGGGGGAGGGGGATGGGATTAACAGTAGCAAATATCTGTCGGGGGATGGGAAAACACTTCTTATCTACAGGGTGCCTGAATGAAACGTTATTGTACACCTAACCCTTAACTGTACCCCACAAAACCATAATAAAAAATACTGATTAATGAAAAAAAAAAATTAACTGAAGGCCAGGCTCGGTGGCTCAGCCTGTAAGCCCAGCACTTTGGGAGGCTGAGGTAAATGGATTGCCTGAGCCTCAGGTTCAAGACCCAGCCAGGCAAATTGGTGAGAACCTCGTCTCTACATTAAATCAAAGATCAGCCGGATGTGGTAGCGCGCTCCTGTAGTTCGGCTATTTGGAAGGCTGAGGCGGAAGGATCACTGGATCCCAGCAGCCAAGGCTGCAGCGGCCAGGAGCGTGCCACTGCACTCCAGTCTGGGCGACAGAGTGAGACTCCAACACACACACACACACACACACACACACACACACACACACACACACACTAACTGAAAATGAGCATAGGCATAGATATTAAACTACAAACTATAAAACATTAAGAAAAAAATCAGGCTCTAGTGTTAGAAGAATTCTAAATGTGATCCATTAAAAATTTTTTTTAATGAAAAACAAACAATACATTGGACTACATCAAAAGTGAACATTTCTGCTTGGTGAAAGATCTAGTTAAGAGGACAAAAAAAAAAAAAAACAAGCTACAAGCTCAAAGACAATATTTGCAAACCACACATGTAACAAAGGACTCATCTACTATTAAAAAAAAAACTTAAAAATCCAACAAAAATAAATAAAACAATTTAATTAGAAAATAGGAAAAAGTCATGAGCAGACATTTCATTGAAGAGGATATACAGATGACAGATAAGTAAATGATAAGATATTTAAATCATTACCCATTAGAGAAATAGAAACTAAAAACACAATGAAAGCCGGGCTCGGTGGCTCACACCTGTAATCCCAGCACTTTGGGAGGCACGAGTTCAAGACCAGCATGGGCAACATGGTGAGACCTCGTCTCTACAATAAAACAAAAAATTAGCCAGGCGTGGCGGCACACGCTTGTGGTTACAGCTACTAGGAAGGCTAAGGCAGAAGAATCGCCTGAGCCCAGCAGGCCGAGGCTGCAGTGGCCAGGAGCGTGCCACTGCACTCCAACCTGGGAGACAGAGTGAGATTCCAACTCAAGCAAAACAAAACAAAACAAAAACAAAAACACAATGAGATATCACTACACACCTATCAGAATGGCTAAAATAAAAAATTGTGACATTTCTAAACACAGGGCTGCTGCTGAGAGACTGGAGAGTTTTCAGTCTCTATAATAAGAATGTTATATGAATGGATGGAATCATACAGTATGTGACCTTTTGAGATTGGCTTTTTTTCATTCAGTACAGTGCCTTTGAGATCCATCTAGATCCATCCTTTTTATTGCTTGGGTGATATTCCATGGCAAGAATATAAAAAATTTTGTTTAACTATTCACCTACTGAGAGGTATTTTGATTGCAGTAATAATGTGCTACATACATACATGTACATGTACAGGTTTATGTGTGGGTGCAACTTTTAAATTTACCTGGGATAAACTTTGAGGAATGCAATGTCTTAGTCCCATGGTAGTTGCATGTTTAATTTTTTAACCAACTGCCAAACTGTTTGCCAAAATGTCAGAAGTGGTGTCAGAAGTTAGGGATAATAGAGGGAGGGAGGCAAATGAGACTAACTATAAAGTAGTAGCTGAAGGGAGATCTTTGTGGTAAGAGAATTGTTCTGTATATTCATTCCAGTGGTGGTAAAATAAATCTACATATGTGATAAAATGCCTTAGAATTATATACATCCATTACACCAACGTCCATTGCCTAGTTTTGACATTGTGCTTTATTTGTGTAGGATGTAAACATTGGTATTAACTAGTTGAAAGGTATATGAGATCTCTACGTACTGTTTCTGCAATTTTCTGTGACTCAATAATTACTTCAAAACAAAACTTTTTAAATCTGAGGTCTAAAAATTTGCCAATTTTTTAAATAATATCAAACCATAAATCCAAGAATCTCAATGATCCTCAAAAACACCTTGGCTCATTGTAGTCAAGTTGTCCAAAATTCATGATAAGAGTATTCACTGCCTTCTCATGAGAAACAATGCATGCCAGAAGACAATAGAATGACAATTTTAATAAGCTGAAAGAAAGGAAAAAAAAGGCTCAATCTAGATCTTCATATCTAGCCACATCACTTTTTAAAAATTAATATAAAACAGAGAATTTTAAACAAACACAAGCTAAGAAAATTTATCATGAGACCTACACTATAAAATAAAAATTCTTCAGAAAAATCATATAAGATTAAAACTTGTATCTAAACAAAGAAATTAAGGGTATTTCTAAATAGGGGTCTAATTATAACAGATTTTTCCTCATTTCTAAATGTCCTTGAAAGATTGCTGGCTGTTTAAAGCAAAAATAATAACAATGTAATATAGGGTTTATAACATATGTAGAAATAAAATGTATCACAACCATATCACCAAGAACTGGCAGGCAAGTGGTAGTATGCTCTGAGTTTAATACTATATGTGAAGTGGTATATATGAAGTGGTATAAAATGATATATTAATGTATGCTATTGTATAATATTCATAAATGTATATATACACAATATGTATGTATATGTGTTATGTGTATGTAATACACATACACAGATGTGTCCTGAGAAAGGTTTCATATGTTTTCATCATATGGGTACATGGCACAAATAAAGGTTATAAACTCTTGATTACGAGGAGCAGAAAAGATCCAGCAGATGACTCAGGGTATATAAGTATGTTTTAAGGTATTTTAAAGTGAGTGACCCAATGACTGTTCTTTTCATCTCTTTACCTTTAAAATATATGACAGCACCACTCCCTGACAAAGACAAGATGGCTCTCACTGATGAATTTTGCTGCCACAGAAACTGTGGCCAGTATGCTTATATCCATTCTGAAGATATGTCACTTTCTGTTTCAGCCTTGAATCAGTCACAGTGGCAGAAACCCATGAAATCAGAGGTGAAGTTTAATGATAACAACTGCCCATTGTCTTCACTTGAAGCAAGAGGCCATTGGAAATACCCCAAACATCCACTGTGGGAGATGGACATTATTTCCCAAAAGTAAATACAGCTCAGCTTGTACTTTGGAACAACTGATCAACCTTGTCATTTGCACAATCTCCTAGCAAAGGTTATGCAGCGCATGAACACGATCATGGCAGAATCACCAGGCCTCATCACCATCTGCCTTTTAGGATATCTACTCAGTGCTGAATGTACAGGTTTGTTCTCTTTTTAAAAATACATTGAGTATGCTTGTCTTTTAGCTATAGAAATGTCTGGTACTGTTTTCTTCACTAAATTTTGATTACATAATATGATAGCAATATTGAAAGTTCTAGCAGCCAGCACACAGGTTGGTAAGTACTGGCTCTCTGGTAGCTGGGTTTTCTTTTTCTTCATTTTTAAAAGTAGCCAGATTTACAGTGCTTATGATGCATTTTATTTAATGAATACTGTTGAGCTTCTGATTTGACAGTATAATTCCTTTTAGAAAACATTAATCTCCTTGGTTATAAAAAAATTAAAAGTGGGGAAACAAGGAAACTGGACTCACCACTTTGAAGTCAAAATTGGAAACATTAAAACTACAAACAATGGTCTAATTTGCACACAAAAAATCTGATTTTAAGATACATGACATGTTTCAAAATTTTAGAAATGTATAATAAAGCATGTCTCTACGTTTTAAAATTGTACGCCCTCAATTTAAAGTTTTAGTTAAAACATGAAAATTAAATTATCATTAGTAAGTTGTTTATCATCAAAGTATTTATGTAGATTAGGAAAAAGTCATTTTGTTTCTATTCCATACATCTTAAAGTTGGTATTTGGGGAAACACAATACTCAGTTGAACTCCCTAAGGGAGAAAAGCAAGTCAAAGAATTGACGTAAAGAGTAGGAATTTAACTAATGCAACATATTTCACTTTGTTTTTTTCACAATTAGTGACTTTATATACTCCCTGAAGAAAGGCACACAAGGAAAAAATTATTCCATTTGGATAAACAGCATGTTCTCATAGGAAGCATTTATCACACTCACTTGTCAACCTTCTAGAATCAAATCTAGTAGCTGACAGTGTCAGGATCAGGGGTGCCAACCCTAAGCATCCCCAGAAAGCAGACGGACTTTGTGGTTCCCACTCCAGACATGATGTCAGCTGTGGAATCAGACTGAAATGCTGAAATAATGATGCAAAAATAAAGAGGTTAAACTGGCAAAGTGGGTAGAGTCAAGGGATAAAGAAAATGTGTTAGAAAACTCACAAGGCAGGACATAAAATCTGGTCATTAGACATATCTCATCAGTGTGACATCTGGGAGAATAAAGGATTCAAACTCTTTGAGATAAGTGGTAAGATGATGAAGGTTGTAAGAAAGCTGCTGCTCTCTTAAAGACTTCAGACGTTGAAAAAAAGGGTAGATACAAAGAAATAGGAACTAATACTCCAGAGCTGAAAAAAATAATGACTAGAGATAAACCTAAAGGGAGGTTAAATATATGACCCCAGACAATACTGAGGAAAAAGGTAATATGATTGTGGAGACAATGCAACCAGAGATAAGAGGTCCTTAAGTAGAGGGCCAGGGGAATTTCCCTAAGACTGAACAGTGTTGATGCAACACTCTCTTTTGCTGTTAAACTGTCATTAGCTTCTACAAGGAGTTTTTATGAGTGATTTGCAGAGATGTTGTATTTTTGTGGTTGCTGCCCTTAGGTATTATTGTATCAATTTAGAATTTTGAAATAAAATTGTTCTGTAAAGCCAGTTCAGTTTTGAAAAGTTTAGGAAATGAAACTGTCTTTCATTCATTCAGACATTACCAAGTTACTGCTATGGTGTCAGATTCTATAACAGGGTACTAAGGGTATGGAAGTAAACCTGACTTCCTCTTTGACCTAAAGCACCATGAGACCAGTTGAGAGATTTCAATACAATGTGTACCAGGTGCTAAGGGATCATAGAGTAAGGAATGCATTAAATAAGAAAACTCTTGACACAGAGACAATATTTTGAGCTGAGTCTTGAAAAATGGGTAAGAGTTCACTCTCCTTAAATGTCTGATCTAGGGCATTTTATGCAGAGAAAATCACGCGTGTAAAGATCCAGATCCAAAAGAATGTGAGGTGTTTCAGGAGTTATATAGGGTTTGAATATTGACTATGACAACTAACGCAGGAAAACTAGGCAGGGCTCGGTCATCAAGATAATAAAGGTCCTAACCTAAGGAGACTGGACTACAGAGTACAATGTGGAGGTATCAGAAGTATAAATATAAGGACTACCACTGATAACTGATGGTGGAGGGTAAGACTAGGGGAGAGTAATATCGAGACTGTTGCAGTTATCCAGGGGAGGAAAAAGGGCTGGAACCTGAACAGTAGCTGTACAGAGAAGAGAGGAATTTGAAAGATATTAAGGAAATGGAAATAATATGACTTAACCATCTGAGTATGGAAGGGAAAGTATATAGAGTGTGTCTTGAGCATTTCGCGTTTGACATGACTATGGGACACAGCATAGTGCCTAAGAGAACTGGCTCTTTAATCTGATTGCCAGAGTGTAAATCAGGGCCCTGATGTTTTAGTATATTTACTTGGGCAAAGTACTTAGCCTCTCCGAACCTCAGTTTTCTTCATTTACAAAGACAAGACAGCAGTACCTATCTCCTAGGACTCTTGTGAGGAGGAAGTGAAATAAGGAATGCAAATTATAGAGCACAGTGTCCAGCACAGCAGAAGCATTACATAAACCTCAGCTATCAGCAGCCATGTTACAGTGTATAGTTAGGGAGCTGGAAAGAGGATCTGAAATTCAGAAGATATATCTGACTAAACTTGGATAGTTGGGACTCAGTGGTGTATAAACAGTAGTGGCAGCCACTTGTGTGTGAGGATCTAGAGAGTGAGCATGGATATAGTGGTACCTGTATAGTATCTAATAGTTGTGGTGAACAATCAATAAATTTTGTTAAAAGGATCAGGGCCAGACTAGGGTGAGGCAAGCAAGGTCCATAGGATATAAATGTACTTTGCACACTCTGAAAGAGAGAACCCCTTAAGTGCTATGTCCTAGATGCCTTGTTTACCTCATCATAGTCCCAGGCCTGGCAAGTAGGTATGGAGTGAAAAAGGAAAAGACTGAAGTTGAAACCTGGGAGAACCCTGGACATTTAAGGGTCAGGCAAAGAGGAGTTAATCAATTCAAGTGGTAGATGGATAACAAGAGTTAGAGCAAAGAGGAGAACCAGAACAGAATGATTTCGTGGAAATAATTTCCTAAGAAGGGAAAGATCAACAATTAGACATTATTTAGAGCAGTGAGTAAATAGATAAACTCAAAATTATCATTTAGGAGGTCAATGCTGATCATGACAATAGTCATTTCATTATATGAATGGGAGTAAGAAAGGAAAAAAGTTATAAAGAGTTATACACAAGTGCATTAAAGAGCTAAAGATAAAATTGAGAAAATTAAAAAGAAAGAAAGGAAGGCTGGCATGAGAGGAATAGAAAGAAAAATAACAAATATATGCCAGTCTACATATTGTCTTACTGATCCTGTCAACAACACTGTGAGACAGACATTCTTATTACACTACTGTTATACCTATTTTACATGTTAAAAAGTTAAAATTCAGAGATTATACGACTTTTCCAAGGTTACACAATCAATAGGAGGCAGACATATGATTCACACGTAGGTCTGTTTGATCTGATTCTAAACCCTGTTTGTTGTTTTGTTTTGTTTTGTTTTTTCACTCAGCCTCACTGTGCAATCGGCCCTCCCTATGTGCAGGCTCCATATTCACAAATTCAGTCAACCACAGATAGAAAATATTCAGGAAAAAGTGGATGGTTGCATCTGCACTGAACACACACAGCCCTTTTTTCTTTTGCCATTCCCTAAATAATAAAGCATAACAGCTACTTACATAGCATTTACATTGTATTAGCTATTATAAGTAACCTAGAAATGATTTAAAGTATACGGAAGGATGTGAGTAGGTTATATGCAAATACTAAGCCATTTTATATCAGGAACTGGAGTATACACAGAGTTTGGTATCTGCAGGGGATCCTAGAACCAATCTTCCATGAATACCAAGGGATGACTGTAGATGGATGCAGCTATGGATGCTCTTTAGGAGTACCCAGGGCCAAGTAAATGGGCTGCTGAGCAGACAAGCAGGCCTGGTGGAATCTGGGAGCCATCGATATGTGGTGGCACCCATCTGCAGCTTGGTGATTTTCCCCTACAGTGCTCAGCTGTCTGGGAAGAGAAGAATGAAGGCAGATGGTTACACTGATCTAGGGTATGGGATTGCAGGGTAGATGCAGCATAAAAAGAGGCGAAGGGAATTGAGAAAACTGGTACGTGAAGAGTCAAACAGAAGAAGTATAGGCTAAAGTCAGAAAAAAGTGAGCCCAAAGGGGATTTGAAGAACAAGAGAAAAGCAAGGATCTCAAGGGACTAGAATGCTCCATAAAGTGAACAGCTGCAATGAGAACAGGGAAAGAAAGTTTAGTTTTGTTTGTTTGTTTAGTTAATGAGAATGTAGTCTCAAATGCCCTGGAAAGTTCATCTTATAAGCACTTGGTCCTGTTGAGATGGTGTCAGATATATTGCTACTCCCTTGAAGAAAGCAACAACTCCAGGCAACTCCTTGAGTTCCTAATGTTAATTATATACACACACACATATATGTGTATGCATGTGTGTATTCAGTCATACATTCCTTAACAATGGGAATACATTTTGAGAAACGTGTATTTAGGCGATTCTATCATTGTGTGACCAATAGAGTATACTTACACAAACCTAGATGGTATAGTCTACTACATATCTAGACTATATGATATAGCTTATAGTACCTAGGCTACAAACCTGTACAGCATGTTACTGTACTGAATACCATAGACAATTGGAAATATAGTGGCAAGGATTTGTGAACTTAAATGTATCTAACAATACAAAAGGTATGATGAAAATATAGTATATAATATTATGGGACCACAGCTGTACATGTGGTTTATTGTTGACCAAAACCTGTACATGTGGTTTATTGTTGATCAAAACCTCATTATGTAGCAAATAACTCTGTGTGTGTGTGTGTGTGTGTGTGTGTGTGTGTGTGTGTGTGTGTGTGTGTAGAGAGAGAGAGAAAGTGATACAGAGACACAGAGACAGGGAAAAGAGGGGGAAAAAGAAAGAATTCAGACAGAGAAATCAATCATTTAAAGTTCAAGAGTGTCCCTACAGACTAGGAAGCCATAGCTAAAATAAACCACAACCTGAATTTCAGACAGATGCTTAAATCACTAGAATTCCTATAACACATGCCAACTGAAGGTGTTGTGAGTCTGAAGATTAAAAAAATAATGTAGTGGCTTTTCTTTAACACCTAGTAAGATACACTGAACTCACATTTGCAACTGGACCACAATTAGGGTTCTGTTCTTAAGGAGACATTTGTTGCAAAGTCATTTGGGCAACTGCATTCTGAAAACACAGCCCAGCCAGGGTAATGGATCACCTTGCAAGGATCTGCAATGAGCTATTTTCAAGTGATGACAAAGTGTGAAGTTAACTGCTTATTTGAGAACCTTTTTTTTCATCCAAAGTAAATTCAAATACGATTGAAAATTTGACCTTTTATTACTGGAGTTCTTCTGACTACAAGTAAAATTGAATTTTAATTCCTAAATCTCCATGTGTATATAGTACTGTGGGAACATCACAGATTTTGGCTCCATGCCCCAAAGAGAAATTGGCTTTCGGATTACTTGGATTAAAAACAAAGCCTTTCTTAAGAGATGTATTTAATTTTCATGATGTTTTCTTTTTTCTAAAGCTAAAGAATCATTCTTTTAAATTTCAGTTTTTCTTGATCATGAAAATGCCAACAAAATTCTGCATCGACCAAAGAGGTATAATTCAGGTAAATTGGAAGAGTTTGTTCGAGGGAACCTTGAGAGAGAATGTATAGAAGAAAGGTGTAGTTTTGAAGAAGCACGAGAAGTTTTTGAAAACACTGAACGAACAGTGAGTATTTTTACCTAAAATCCTTCAGATGCAGAGCAAAGAACAGAAAATCTTTTTAAAAAAGACACTTCTCTTTGGAACTTTAAAATATCCATACATACTCATCTATGTATCTTAGAAATGATATAAAAGAGAAGAAATCAACAACATAACACTTTAAATAGTACCATTAACTTGTCCTTTTTTTCCTTTATAGACTGAATTTTGGAAGCAGTATGTTGGTAAGCAATTCATTTTATCCTCTAGCTAGTATATGAAACCTATGAGAATTATGTATATATTTTCTATGTATAAATAGATAATACAAGGGGGAACTCAAACAGAATTTATTTATTTTAAAAAGAATATATTTATTCTTACATGGTTAAACATAAGTCACCTTCAAAGTACTGTCTGTCTGATGCAATACACCTATCAAGACACTTTTTCCCACTGCTCAAAACAGCTTTTGAAAGCGCAGATTTTGATGCTTTTTAGTACTTCTGCGGTTTTTTGTTACACCTCTTCCAAATCGGCAAAACATTTCCCTTTGAGGTCTTTCCTCATTGGAGAAACAAAAAACAAAAGTCACTCAGAGTGAGATCAGGTGAATTGGGAGGGTGGGGCACCCGTGTCATGCTGCATTCTGGTTAAAAAAAAAACTGCTGAATATTCAGTACGGTATAAGCTGGTTGCTCATGTAAATCACCCATTACGAAATGAGCAAACGTGTTGAATGAATCTCAAAAAAAGAAAATTCACTGAAGCCAAACGCAGCCTCTCACAACAATGGTAGCTGGTACACTGAGGCTGATGGGTTCCTAGAACATTTACCTAGCAGGGAAGTCTGTACTACAAGGGGTCCACTCTCCAAAAGAAAATTCCAATTTTGGGGGTTCCCTTCGTATATTAAATGCTGTCAACAGTACTCAGAAAGATCAGTCCAACCCTTTAACCCAAGATTGAATAGTGATATACTACAGGTTCATGCCAATATGAAGTCTATCAGCTGGCAGATTAGTATACTCCTCTCTAGGGCTTCACAAAGAATATAGTTCCACTCAGGAAGCTAGCAGGAAGAAACCAAAATGATTGTATCTTAGGACCTAATGAGAGTGTGCAGTCCTTAGTAGAGAATCAGAGAATGGTGAGTAATTTAAATGTTTGTTACTTCAAAGACTTCCTATTATGATGGCCAACAAGACTTTCCAAGATTGTCCTTCTTTACCCTTCCCATCTCCCTCCTCATTTCCATTCTTCCTGCTCTCCTCCTCACACACTGGGCTCCAGCCATCCTGGACTTCCTGCCACTCCTTGCACACCGTAGGAATGCTCTCACTTCTGAGAATTTATCTGATTGTTTCTCTTATCTGGTTGTCCCCAGCTTTCCCGGGTTGGCTTCCCCATCTCCTTCAGGTCTTCATCCAATTTTATCGTCTCAGTGGGGCCTACCTTGATTATGTATTAGTGCATCAACCAGTAGCCCCATCACTCTAGACAACCATATCCTACTTCATTTTTAATAGCACTTTTCACTGCCTAACATATTATATCATTTTTTACTTATACCATTTATCATTTATTTTTCCTACTCCACTAGAATGTAAGCTCCATGGCAGGGATATTGATTTTTTTGTTGTTGTTTATTGATATATTCCTAGCATCTAGAACAATATGACAACTAATTTTAAAACTACAATAATTTAAAATCCAGAAGTAGGATTTTGAGGGAGGATAAGTTTCAAGATTGACTTACCTAAGAACATCTACATGGATAAAAGCAAATTAAACTAGACACCAAATTCCACCAATTGGAGATCAAATTCTATTTTCCACAATGCCTGTTCTGGAAATACCACTGGACATTCTCCTACCCTCATAAGTTATAATTTCTCCATTTTTGTTTTTTAGTTGTGAGAGAAAAAGAGGTTCACTCTGGTATATTGTTTTATCTACCTGTCCTTGTTCTTAGTGATGAATGCTACCATGCCAACTCCTACTGATATGTCTCTTTAAAGTTAGTCCAAACAAGTCTTTTTACTCTATTCCTACTGAATTCAAAACTTTGAATCTTCTGATTTATTTCTAAAATCAAATCAATATCTACTTTTCAAAAAAAAATATTGCTGGCTATATTAAAACTCCTATGACTCCTTCTTTGCCAAACTTCACCCACAGTAGCATATTTTGAAGTTGACCTCCTGCCTTCTAGGTCACATAGGTGAACTGTTTGCTATTTCTCAAATATAAATACATGGAAAACATCAAGGGAATGATGCTTTCACTATTGTTTTGTCAACCAAAGAATAAAACAACAAAAACAGGAACAAAAGAGAAACAAACTTCCTGCCCCTTTTCACTTGCAGTTAAGATTCCTAACCACTACAAAAGTAGCCTGCACTATTTCTTATGTGTATCAGGGACTCACTGGATTCTATACCATCAACTCACCACATGAAGAGCCTGACTGAAGAATGATAGCCCAATCACATTAGCATCTGTCAAGCATGTTATGGTTTATATAATGCCTATCATATTTAACGCTCACACTATTCCTGTGACCAAACCATTATTGATTCCATTTTACAAAGCAGGAATTTGAGGCTTAGGAAGGTTAAGGAAGCTGCCAAAGGTCACCCAGTTGGGGAGTCATGAAGCCCAGAAGACAGCCCAGTGTCTCTACTGCCCAGACCTTTGCTTTCACTATTACACCACATGGCCTTCAAATCTAAATGTAGTTATTCATTAAACAAGAACCTAGTCATCTTAAAGAGGAATCTCAGTTGGCAAGATCTTATCTCTTGTTGTCTTTGACCCCAACTGTCGATGGCTTTGCTTCAGCCCAAAGTATATACAGACAAGAACCCAAAGGAGGGCTAAATGCAGGATAAAATGACACTCATTTTAGCCATATGTCTCAGCAAATGAGTTCCTGTGTAGCTGGCTGAAAGCCCAGACCCTTTCAGTGAAACATCCTAAATAATTCAGATTTGTTGGTCTATAATATAAAGTGCAAATGTAGCTTGTTTTTTAGACAAGCTCTGAACATCAATAATAATAAACTAGAGATAACATATTTTGTTTTCATAGAATTGGAACAAATTGAACTATCTGTGCAAAAGCACATTGGATCAAGGGGCAGAGGGAACACGGTCTAATTTTTACAGCAAGCAGATTTTCCAGAGAGGGACTATTCTGAGAAAGAAATATTAGTCCCTTAGTTGATGGAACCTGGATACATACTTCTAACAGAGGAGCAAGAATGGGCAGGCATCTGCACACTAGATGTCAGAGTTTTGCTCTAAAATATAATTGATAATTAGAAATTTATCTTCAATTTCCCCCTTTTCTCTCATTCTTTGATTCTTATTGTTGTCTTTATCTCTTCCTCTTTGGTTTTTCATAAATTGAGTCTTACTGATCAGGCTCCTTCCCCTTATTTTTTATTTATTTCTTACCTCAAAGTACATACCAGTCTCCCTTCTAGTTCTATTCATTCTTTTCTCCTGAGGCTTCCTTAGAAGTATGGATGAGGCAGTGTGCTAAGAAACCAGAGTTAAAGGTTCCCTTCTCATCCTGACCCTTCTCCTCTCTCCATTTTTTTCCTCCTGTTTTCTTACCACCAGTGTCTTCAAAGGCTCTCAAGAACTCTGTAAATGTAGAAACTTCAGGAAAGATAGAATGGAAACATAGCCAATCTAAACATAAATAAAGCACACTGTAGAATCTTTTAAAAATATTTATGATATATTGAACACTGTTTTTCACTTTACCTAGACCATTTGAAACCAAACTCATAGACTGTAGACTACCTAAGCAGTAACAGATGCGTCTGGCATCTTTTCTGTTTTTTCAAACCATTACTACGTAGGATACTTTAAAGATAAATGACAATTCAAGAAAATAGATGCATTTGATCCATGCATAGGCCACTGGTTCCTAGAGCTGGAACACGATGTATTATCTAGCTCAGCTTGCTCTGCAAGACTAGTGGTGAGAAGGCCTTGTATAACATATAGATAATACATGTTGAAGTCATTCAATCTGATTTAGAATTAACCCTGCCATTCTATAAGGAAGGATTGAAAATCCTTCTTCCCCCTATGCTGATATAGTATATTTCTATACAAAAATGTTCTTCTCCCTCTTCCCTTGGATTGCATAAACTATGTACATGCTTTCCTTGGGGCAACTTCCTAAAACAGTGGTAGACTAAAAACCTTTGCTTGGGCAACTTTAGAATCTTGAGAAGACAGGAGCATCACATGCCTATAGGCAGTTGACTTCCAGTTCAGGAGTTCTGCTCTGACCCTAAAATCAGACTTCCATCTCCACGAGTCTTTCAGGGAAGGACCGGGCATACTAGAAAGTTTATCTGCTAATTCAGTCTCTTAACTTATCTCAAAGATGGAGACCAGTGTGAATCCAATCCATGTTTAAATGGTGGCAGTTGCAAGGATGACATTAATTCTTATGAATGTTGGTGTCGCTTTGGATTTGAAGGAAAGAACTGTGAACTAGGTAGGTATTTTGTTGTTGTTGTTACTCATGCCTCATAGTTTCCCTTTGAAACAAGTTGAAACTGGAAAATGTGGTGTTTATGTATCATAACTTACTCTTGAGGACATATACTTTCTTTTTTTAATTTTTTTTTATTTTAAAGATGTGGGATACAAGTCAGGGTTAGGTATACAAATGTTCATTATGCAGGTACCCTTGTTGACGAGGTATGCCCCCTTCCCCTGGTATTTTCCCACTACTGCCAATTCCTTTCTTATAGTATTATGATAATTGTTCAAGGTCCGCTTATGAGTGAGAATATGTGGTAATCAGTTCTTTGTTTCTGTGATAGATCACGCAGTATTATAGACTCTGAGTTCATCCAAGTTGCTGCACAGTTCATAATTTTGGAGGACATATACTTTCTTTTTTGTTTGTTTTTGTTTTTGTTGAGTTGGAGTCTCACTCTGTCGCCCAGACTGGAGTGCAGTGGCTGCTCCCGGCCACCACAGCCTCGACCTGCTGGGCTCCAGCGATCCTTCCGCCTCAGCCTTCCGAATAGCTGGAACTACAGGCACGCACTACCACGCCCGGCTAATTTTTTTTTTTTTTAATTGTAGAGATGAGGTCTCGCCAAGTTGCCCAGGCGGGTCTCGAACCCACGGGTTCAGGCAATCCACTCACCTCAGCCTCCCAAAGGCACGGGATTACAGGCTGAGCCACCGAGCCCGGCTGACATATACTTTCAAAGCTTATAAACATTCACTTCATCTGTAGTCATAGTTTTCAGGATGTAAGTTCAATAAATTATGTTAAAATCAATAACATCATGTGGCAGCTAATATTAAGTGACAGTGAAGTTCTACTCACTTTACTTATTAATCCTTAATGCAACCATTTGCAATCAGCATCCTTATTATTCCCATTCTGTGAAGATGAGAAAACTGCAGCTCCAATAGCTCAAAATCACAGAGGCATAAAGGGTTTATCCAGGACTTGGACTTCAGTTTGACAAAAACACATGCTTTTAACTACTATACTCAATACCACCGAGAGAAAACTGAATCCATAAAATTGTTTGTACTCATGCCTAAATTGCTATCAACATAGGTAGTGGAAGTCAATTAAGTCAATTAAGTTGTCCCATATAATATATACAAACACTTCACATGCTAAATTTGTTGACAAAAATTACAGTTCATTTCTGAGTTTGTCTATATTGATTACATCAAAGAGTTACATAGCAAACCTAGGATCATCATGTGCCTTTTTTCTAATGATCCCAAAATATTTTTATTGAAGTTTTGATAATTGGAGCAGTAAACACTAACGTTCTTTACTACTTGTTTATTACCTCCGGATGCAATATTACTGGTATTGTGACTATGAAAAGCATACAGTACTAACGAGGGATTCTCTTTCTATTCTAATGCTCAAGAAGTATAGAGACACAATCCTAGGGAAAAAATTTAACACTACAGGCTACATAACCAAAGACAAAGTAAAACATTAGCAGGACACTATTAAGGCATTGTAACAATCCACCTAACAGATAAAAAAAGAATAAAATAAAATGAAATGTAACATCTGCACTTGTCCTATTGAGAAAGGAAAAAAGTCACCTGTGATGTTATTCAGAAATCCTCTCAGTACTAAAGAAAAATTCATTGATCATCTTCCTTTACACTCTACAAGTTTTTAGAAGATAAGGAAAAAGTGACAGGGCATCGAAAAGAAAGAAAAGAGTGAATGCAGGTGGGTGAACTTGCATACCTGGCTTGGACTTCCATTCCCTTAGGTTTGCCAGTGTGAGAACAAACCAATGCCTGGGTTACCTTTCCTGGGTATGTTAATTGTTTCAACATCTCTGAAGTGCTACTTTCATCTGAAATGTTATAACTTCACATTCAAATTTATCTGGATAAGTTTGATCCTGCTATTAAGGAAATCCACAGAAATCTTTAGAGGAGTTCTTACCAGCTTAAATAGCATAACTATTGGAGCTGAAGAAATGAATAACTCAGTCTCTGTTACAACTGAAGGGTACGTTGTAGTAAACTATAATTGAAAACATAAATGTGTTTATCTAGTTTAAAACCAAAGATTCTTTCATAGGAAGATAATATCCCTGAGGAATGTAAATATAAGCACAAAAGTTCTGTAACAGAGTTTACTACATTTATGTGGTTATGGTCCACATAGAAAAAATGCTAAAGTTCAACTGGCACCATCTCAATACTCTCAGATGCTCACATTTTTGTTCAGTCAGGGCTATGAAGTTGTACTGCAGCCACCACCACACTCGGCCTCTATAGTATATTTATCTGACCCAGCCAATCTGATCCAGATTTAGAAAAATATGTTCAGAACAGTTCATTCAGAAATAAAACGAGAATTCCCTCAAAAAGCTCTTTATCTCAGACACCAGAGGAAAGCAACAGCAAAAGCATATCTAAATTCCCATTTAAGCTTATTGCTTCAAACTAAACTAAAGGCTAATCGCAAAAGCTACTAGATAGCACTGATTATAGGATATCTGGGCCCCAAGTATCTTGCCTTACACAGTCTTGAAAAAGGAAAGGAGATTTTCATCAGTAAGATGTTTTATTTTTTCTCTTGGTCATCAGGATCATCATCAGGGGAGAGAAGTGCAAACATTGAGGGCACACTTTCTAGTTAGGAGAATATTAATCAGTTATTGGGTTCCTTTGGCTAGAATAAAGACTTTTGTATATCCCCAGCTGCACATCAAATCCAAATCTCTTTCAAATGGATCGAGGTCTGTAAGAATGCAGTCTTCCTGCCCCTTCTAAAAAGTAAAAGAGGCATTTTCCCACAGTAAGAGAGAATGGAAAGAAAAAAAATCACAAGTACATAAACACTTTTTTCCTCCATTATTCCCCCATGTCACAGAACTACTGTCTTATTTACTATGTATTTCTGTGGAGTGGAAAAAAAGAAAATATATTCAGTTTAGCTGAATCACAGCATATTTTGTGGTAAACTTGTTAAATAAAATATCTTTTGTCCAAGCTTTGGTTGTCACATCAGTGGGTATATCAGGAAAGATGAAGGCAGAGTAAAATAAAGCAGAACATGATAACATTTGTAGTAGGCATGAAGGGGATTAGAAAGTGTTTGTGCTAACATGAAGGGAGAACAGATGGTTTGAGATGTCCTTTAACAGCTATTCTAGGCACTGAGACCAGTTACAGAACCAGGGAGAACCCATACCCAACACAGTGCCTGATATCTAAATGCTCAGTCATTGATGAAAGAGTCCTATTCTGAATCTTCCTTAAACCCACTCTACAGAATTCTCTCCTGGAATTCCTTGCATTGTTATTCCATTTCTAGAATCTTGAACTGTTTACCTGAGGGCAAAAAACTATTGAATAGGAAGCAATATTTCTCACCACCTACACAAACCAAGTCAAACATCAGCAGTAGCAGCAACAAACTAGGTCATAAAAGGCAATGGCAAATGAGGAGAATGATAGAGAGGTCTGGTTAGTTAGCCAAGAACACAGAATCAAAATTGAGAAAACCACACTGAGTTTACTCATTCCCATGGTGCATGCCCTGGACAAAACTAGGCTGTATCTGTAACCTACCTCATTAACTTACCACAATTCTATACTGACTGAACACTTTCTATAGGTGGTGTTTGATATGGCTGAACACTTTAGAATTGCTTTTGTAGCAACAAAATGATAGCTAGTAATATGAATAGAGCAAGAATATTATCGCCGTAACTGAGGAAAACAGCCTAAAATAAATTAATTAATAAAAATGATCAAGTGCCATCTTGTTAAATCATGCACTTAGTGGATGACTGGTAGCAAAGGTTAAAGCTCAGGCTGGTTCCTTTGTCCACCTAGCAACAGTTGATTTGCCTACCTTTATTTCCTGAAGTATCAATAAGGATTAAGAGCTAATTATTACATTAGCCTAAGCAAGCATATGTAAAGTAGAGTTTAAAAGTTTAGATTGGTCACTCAAAAATTCATGACATAGGCTGGACATGATGGCTCATGCCTGCAATCCCAGCACTTTGGGAGACTGAAGTGGGAGGATTACTTGAGGCCAGGAGTTTTAGACCAGGCTGCACAACATAGCGAGACCTTGTCTCTACAAAATAAATAAATAAATAAATGCTTACATACATACATACAAACACATTCATGATATATTCCAAAACCATACAATCACTCTGTTAGCCCACATTCTCCCAGAATGTGGCAAGAGTAAAAGGCAAGAGTAGGGGCAAGAGTAAGGGACGGGAGAGTAAGGGAGCAATGAAAGGAAAGCCAATAAGAGGATGAATTAGCAAACTACTTGGCCATAGTAGCAACTGATTGATTTTCTGGGACTGTCTCCAAGAATCCATTTGAAGTGCCCTCAAGATAGCCTACCTGAGAGGAAAGAAGAGGAGAAAGTATTTGTCTACCAACCTCAGTCTCTGGTTGGTCAGAATTTGAGCCCACTGGGAGTTAACTCCCCCATATTTCCAGGTTGGGCATGGTTAGGCACCCAGAAAGTTATATGACACCCTGTGCCTCAGCATCCACAGGGAAGCCCCAAGGCAAGAGGTGAGAGGCATATACATAGTGCAGCTATGAGCCAAGGCAATTCAATGCTATACCTGTATGAGGTTAGTTGAAGTTCATGCAAAACTGATCACCATGATGCTGAAAGAAAAAATAAAAGCAAGTGATGCTGAGGACAATGAAGATGGTGCATAGAAGGTATCTAATGCAATCACTTATCTTCAAATTTTCCACATTATAACTGCACTGACGACTGAACATTTCTATTGAAAGTTGTACTGTATAGAGCATGTACTTAAGGGAAAAGGTGTCTTACATTCATTGTATTCCTGTGCTACTCTAGAGATAGAAACAGGCCTAAGGGTAGAGACTGTTGTTGTTTTAACTCAGCAGATGTTCCGGGCTCTGTGGCTCAGCCTGTAATCCCAGCGCTTTGGGAAGCCGAGATGTGTGGGTTGCCTGAGCCCGCAGTTCGAGACCTGCCCGGGCAACTTGGCAAGACCTCATCTCTACAATAAATCAAAAATTAGCTGGGCGTGGTAGCATGCGCCTGTAGTTCCAGCTACTTGGAAGGCTGAGGTGGAAGGATCACTGGAGCTCAGCAGGTTGAGGCTGCGGTGGCCGGGAGCATGCCACTGCACTCTATTCTGGGCAATGGAGTGAGACTGCGACTCAAAAAAAAACAAAAACAAAAACAAAAACCTCAGCTGATGTAAGCTAGCAAGCCTTTGTTCATGTTATTTGCTGTTATTGAGAATGCATAGGAGAAACAAAGGAAAAGCACAGTAATTAGAATACTCAAAATAAGATGGCAGGAATAAGCCAAACATATCAGGGAGCACAATTAATGTGAACTGGGATTAAACTAATCAGTTAATGACAACTTTCAGTTTGGAGCTAAGAATCTAATTGTATACTGCTGATAATACAGATACCTAAAATAAAATTACACCAGGAGGTTTAAATAAAGGGGTGTAAAAAGAGCTATCAGGTAAATGCTAACAACAACAAAAACTGGCAAAGCAATCTTAGTATCGGACAAAAGAGAATTCAAGATGAAAAGCATTTCAAAAGACAAAGAAAGATATTTTATATTAAAAAGAGAGATTGCATAGGAGAGTAAAGAAATGTGTGCCACTGGAGCACTTACCACCGACAACATATAATGTCTTTGGCCTTTAGATATCTTAAAGGGCCCTATTTCACTTTTTTATGTTTGATACATACCCACCTCAGCCAGCTTCAGGTTGCTTTTTGGACCTAATGAACTCCTGTACACCATACTTTCTAAAAATCTCCAGTTCTGTTTTTGAAGGTAAAATTCAAACTGTCTTGCTCTGGAAGTCAAGAAACTTCTAGAATACCTAAGCCAAAGAGACTACACTTCAGTACAGACAGGCAGCATCTACATAAGATTATGGGATTGTCATTGCTTTTCTTGTTCATTGAAAAAAGAAAAAAGTAAAACTGGCCAGATGCTGTAGCTCATGCCTATAATCCTAAGACCTTGGAAGGCCAAGGCAGAAGGATCACTTGAGGCCACAAATTTGAGACCCAACTCTACAAAACATGAAAATTTTTAAAAATAGCTAGGCATGGTGGCTCATGCTTATAGTCTCAGAAACTTGGGAGACTGTGACAGGAGGATGGCTTGAGCCCAGGTGGTCAAGGCAGCAGTGAGCTATATCATGCCATTACAGTCCAGCCTGGGTGAAAGAGCAAGACCTTTTCAATTTAAATAAATAAATAAAACTGTAACTTTCAGGAAAATGATTGTACATGTAGAAAACCCAAAATCATTAGAATAAATAAATAAGTATAGAAAGGTTGCTGAATACAGAGTCAACACACAAATATTAATTATATGCCTATATTTACCAGCAGCACTTAGAAAATGATTTTTATAGTAGCCCAAAAAATAAAAGATTACAAATAAAAGAAAGATGTACAAGAACTCTATACAAAAAAGTATGCGACATTATTGAGAAAAGTTAAAGAAGACCTAAATAAATGAATGGATAGGCTATGTTCAGATTGAAGGATACAACATAATAAATATATTAATTCTCTTGTAACAAATTCAGTGCAATACCAATCAAAACAACCAGTAGGTTTTTGTTTGGGGGGGAATGATAAGCTAATTCTAAAATGTATATGAAAATATAATGGTCAAGGATAGCCAAGACAGTTTTGAGGAAAAATAAAATTGTAGTATTTACACTACCAGACATCAAGACTTATTACAGAATTACACCAATTAAGACATTAAGATATTTGTCACGAGGATAGACAAATAGATCTATAGAAAACAATAGAGTGCTCAGAAACATACCTGCACACATATGGGGGCTTGATTTATAAAAGAGGTGCCACTGCAGTGGAGTAGGGAATGGTTGTTGTTGTCAATAAATACTGATGGGTCAGCTAGACATTCATATGGGGAAAAATGTGTTTAGATCCCTACCTCACACTATATACCATAATCATTTCCAAGTGGACTAAAGATCTAAATATAAAATATAAAATAATAAAGTTTTTATTTTCACGACCTTGGGGAAAGCAAAATTTTTTAAACAGAATACAAGAAGTATTCACCATAAAAATAAAGATTGATAAACTAGACTATATTGAAATTAAGAACTCTTATTTAGCAAAATACACTATTTAGAGTGAAAAGAAAAGTCACAGGTTAGGACAATATATCTGCAATATATATTTAATAACTGAAACTCATACTAGTGGTGGGATTTTAAGTTTGCACAATAATTTTAGAAAACTGCTTGGCAGTGTCTCCTAAATCTGGACATGTGATGCAGTAATCCAACTCATAAACAAAAATCCAGTAAAAATGCATGCTTATGCATTTTGGGTGACAAAAAATGGACAAAATGTTCGTTACAGTATTATATATGAGCCAAAAACTAGAAACAACCTAAATATTCATCGACAATAGAATGGATAGATAAAAGGTATAATATTAATACAATAAAATATTACATAGCAATTTTAATGAACTACTACTATACAAAACAATACAGAAGATTATCACAGATAAAATATTAAATGAAAGACACAGAAGAGTACATATGTTGAGTTTCTATTTATATGAAGTTCATGAACTGACAAAACTGCTCACTGTGTTAAAAGTCCAGGCAGAGCCGGGCTCGGTGGTTCAGCCTGTAATCCCGCGCCTTTGGGAGGCTGAGGTGAGTGGATTGCCTGAGCCCACGGGTTCAAGACCCACCTGGGCAGCGAGACCTCATCTTTACAATAAATCAAAAAATCAGCCGGGCGTGGTAGCGCGTACCTGTAATTCCGGCTACTTGGAAGGCTGAGGCGGAAGGATGCCGGAGCCCAGCAGGTCGATGCTGCGGTGGCCGGGAGCGGCCACTGCACTCCAGTCTGGGCGACAGAGTGAGACTCCAACTCAAAAAAAAAAAAAAAAAGTCCAGGCAATGGTAACCTATGAAAAAGAGAAAGGGTGGAGTGATTGAGATGGGGCATTAAAAGAGCTTCTGGGGTGTTGATAATGTGTTGTGTATTGATGAGTTTAGTGTTCAAACAGGTGCATTTATTTAGTGAAAAATTATACTGAAGTTTTGTGTACTTTTATGAATATATGTTATATTTTAATAAATAGGCTTTTAATTGCAGCCCATGATTTAGTGAAAGTAGGATATCCAAACATTTAGTTTTATACCAAATCAAATATAGCACTACCACCATTTTTATGCCATATTGACAATTTTATTTTACCTTTCTTTCCACTCTTAGCTCAAGACTCCCAAATGTCTCTGCATGAATGCGGTGTGTAGTTCCATGCAGTTTGCAGTGTGTAGTTCCATGTGCTTTTTTTAAAAAAATGCATGTTAAATGATACTGTTACTGTCTATTTTACTTTCTTTTAGATGAAACATGCAGCATTAAGAATGGCAGGTGCAAGCAGTTTTGTAAAAGGGGAGCAGATAACAAGGTGGTTTGTTCCTGTACTGAGGGATACCAACTTGCAGAAGACCAGAAGTCCTGTGAGCCAGCAGGTAAAAACCTAAATAACTTTTTTAAAAAGAAAATCTATATTTGAACCTACAGCATTTTAAAAACATACATAATTTTAATTCCTATTTATATCTATTTCCTTTTGAAATCATAGAAAAGATCAGTAATTTGAACTGGACAAATTAATTTTCCAAATTGTATCATCAATTTAAATATAAATCATGTAACTATCTACAGCCTGAATTATTTTCTGGGTCCAAATTTTTCTCTAACTTTAAAGTTAGAGAATCACAAAGCATTTGATTTGTGTGATTTCTGTGTATATATTTGTGATTTAAGTCAAATTAATGTAGTACTGTACTATAAAATATACACAAATGATTGACTGAGTGATGGGTTTTTAGTGCAAGGATGGTGAATTTGAAGCATGATTCTGTCAGGGTCTAACTTGTCCATTCTGAGAAAGTTATTTCCTATCCTTGCATCTCAAGCGGAGTTTACACATTTGGTGTCAGAATGGTTCCAGCAATAAATTGTTTTTAAGTTCTGCTAGGTTGATCAACACAATCTATACAGCAGTAGACAAAGCAATAGTTCCCAGTCATGTCTACCATTGGTCTATTCAGAACATCTCACTCCATGCTCATATGTATGACTCTTCTTTGAAGATGAACGCAGTAGAAACTTTAATTTTAAAAAAAGTGGGCTCTGCAGGATCAATTATATTTGATAAATGAGGGGTCTTTTGAAGCAAATGAGATATAATTTCTTTTGCATTTCCAAAGCCTGATATCTTATTAAATTGGTACACTAAATAATGCACTATTCCTCTGTAACTGGGTTCAGTACCTCTCTTAGCATTGCAACAGGCAGAGAAAATTAAAGAAAAAACCCAGAAAGCTAGCCTACCTTGTGAGGAGTGTGGGAGTATGGGAGTGTGGGAGTGTGGGAGTCTGTGTGTGTGTGTGTGTGTGTGTGTGTGTGTGTGTGTGTGTGTGTATGCACACATGCACATATGTATGTGTATGTATATTGTTTTAACCTTAAAAACCTAACTTCCAGTATAGACAAATGGCATAGTAGCTAAATTCTTACAAGCCCTTATATAAGAGAGTAAAATAATTGAGGACCACCTCTATTATATGTTATATTTGAATACAGCTAAAGCAGAATAAGTAGGCCAAGCCTAAAATAAGCTTTACTGCCTTTTCAATAACAGTCCCTTTTCTCTAGCCATTGTTGATCATGTATATTTATACATAAGTATTTTGAACTAATTTCCTGTTTTCTCAACCACATGCTGTCTTCATGATACTTTGTCGCAGCTGGTTGCTATAGAAATGTCTGTTATAAGGAATGTGGCTTGAAAAAAAGTGAGAAATGAAAATGAAATGTGAGGTTACTTTGTTTGACTACAAATTTCCATTCTGAGAGTCCCTAATGGACTAGTAAATGACTTTTTTCTTTAGAAATTAAACCATCCCAAGGAAAAAAAAGTTTCACAGATTTTGGTGACTATGGCTGTGAAAATCATATTAGTAAACTGTTTGGTTAATATTTGACAGCCAGGTAATTCAGTCACAATTGTTTCTCCCCAATAAATACCTAAAATCCACCTTGGAATCTAGAAGGCATTGCAGTCTACAAAAGAAACCTTATTAATGATAAGCAGCAGAAATCCCATTTACCTAATTCTACAGTTAAAGTCACAAGGCATCAATCATCAGACTTCCATGCAGCGATGGCACTTGGGAGTAAGATTTTTCAGTAAAGAAACTAAACAGAAAGTCATTAGACTCTATAAAAATCTTACCAAATTTCATTCCGGAACACCTATTCTATTTCCGTAAAGATGATGAATTCCAGAGCCAAATGTTCTTTTCACTAAGGGCTTAAAAACTTTCCACAAAAATAATACAATCAACCTTTTAATCTGAGAATATATTTACTGATGTGATTTTTTAAAAATATTGATGGATCTGCTTCTCAAAAGTGACAAGTATCCTCGTTCTCAATTTTTGAAATACGTGTTCTGTTTGCCAATGAGAAATATAAGAGTACTAAAGTGTTTTCTATTTTTCTAGTGCCATTTCCCTGTGGAAGAGTTTCTGTTTCACACCCTTCTACGCTTACCCGCGCTGAGATTATTTTTTCTGATATGAACAATGAAAATTCTACTGAAGATGAAGCTATTTGGGATAACATAACTCAAAGTAACGAATCATCTCAAGACGTCACTCGGGTTGTTGGTGGAAAAGACGCCAAACCAGGTCAATTCCCTTGGCAGGTACTGTATACTGATGTTGTGTGAAAACTGGAGCTCAGCTGGCAAGGGATAGGCCAGTCGGGAGACTGAGGCTAGCACATTAGACAGACCTATCAGGGTGAGATACGTATTCAGGCAAGTGTCAGCACTAAGCAGTATGAGACAGCCCCCATAGGTGAGCAGCTGGTGAAGGAGAAGCCCAAAACCAACTACCATTCAAGATCAAGAAGTTTGGCATCAAGGAAATTTCATAACAGGATTCCAAACAAGCAACAGGTCAGCAAATGAAGGTCTGGAAGAGAGGTCACAGGTACTGGAGTTCAGAGTACTACTTCAGTTTCAGACCCCAGAAAACTGGTGAGAGTTAAAAAGTCTCTAGGCCCAGAGAAACTAGATTATTTTAAAGAGAATAAGGAAAAATACTCAACTAGGAAGGATGACGGCAAGAACTGGGTTCCTGGACCCAGGCTATGAGATACAGGTTTGGTTCTCAGCCATGGTTCTCAAGGTGTGGTAGCATCAGAATCACCTGGGAACTTGGTAAGGCTGTCAATTTTCTTGCTTTACCCCAGACCTACAGAATCAGAATCCCTGGGGATGGGGTCCAGCAAACTAAGGGTAAACGAGCTCCATAGGTGATTCTGATGCACACTACAGTTGGATAATCATTGGTCCAAAGAAAACAAACTTGCAGAGTCCAAAACACCAAATAACGGACTCATGGTACCTAGTTTTTCAGGTGTGGTCTGCAGACATTTCTCGAAATGTGGTCTGCAAATGGCCCACATATGCAGAATTACATATATATATATATACATATATATATATATATATATACACACACACATACATATATGTGTATGTGTGTGTAGGTGTATATATATGTGTATATATATATACACACACATACACATATATGTATATATACACACATATTTATGTATGTAAGTATATTACATATATTATACATACATATCTATGTATGTATATAGTATATATTAAACATACATATATGTATATATATTTGATTTAACAAAGAGCAAGATATGTAGTAAAACTTGTGTTGTAACTCATGCTACAGCTAAAGCCTAAGTGACTCCATCTGTGAGAAGGAAAACGACCTGTCCCATACCCAGGCAGGAAGCCAGGTGGTCCCTATATAAAGTTGTGCTGTCCAACAGTTAACCACTAGCCATATGTGACTTTTTAAATTTAAATTAACTACAACTAAATAAAATTTCAAAATCAGTCCTTCAGTTGCACCTGAAACATTGTAAGTGCATCAAAGTCACGTGTGGCTAGTAGTTCCTGTATTGAACAGTGCAGGTATACATTGAACACCCATTTTCTATTGGACAGAGCTTAGTTTAACTTACAACACCCTAATGGGCACAATCATGATTTTGTAGAGATTTCAAGAATATTTCACCACAGAATATTTAATCTACTGAAATTTAAATTTCTGCCATCAGAGACTGACACCTTCAAAGACTTTGTGATCATCAAACTGGTAACAATTTAAGCCAGAATCAGGTAAATATCCTCAGGTTTAACACCACTGGAATTTTCTGAAACTAGCTATGCATCTATCCAGGATTCTTGAGAATGCCATTTTCTGATATAATAGATGTAAGGTATTAAACATACGCCTGGGGATGGAGGTGGTTGGCACAGGCATTGTGGAGAATGGTATCAAAGGGTGGCAGAAAATCACAGCCAAGACTTTCTTATACATTCGTTTTTTAAAAAACAATATTTGTTGGACCTGATGTCATAGCCAATAAAATATACTCTATGTCTCTTTACTCCCTCTGTCCTCACTGAAGTGCACCTTACCTGACCCTTTCTCTCACTCATCCTCACCTTTACTCTTTTTCACTAGTCTTTGTAAGACTATCTTCTCCACGGACGTTTCCCTAAGCAATCCCTCTTGGGTATAACCATTCTAATTATGCTTTCAATCTATTTAATTTCTATGTATCTAATTCTATCTAGTTTTGTCATTTGTGTTCTCATGCATTTTCATTCATTATGTATCTAACTTCCATGAATAAGGTGGTTACAACAAAAGTTCCTGCCTTATGACAATTATCGTCCTTGGGTTTGTGGGACACAGAGCAGTGCTTAGAGTAGAGGATCCAAGAACCCAGGAGAACATTATTAACTAAGAAGATGACGACTTTATAAAACCCCAGGATTTAAAAAACAATCCCATGATGCACCTACTGTGGTTTTAGCATTGCCCCCTGGTCATCCCAGAAATGAAATGGCAAATACTCATAAATGAGAACCAAAAGAGGGGGAGTATACAGGCTCAGTTTAGCTACATAATCTGTTTCCCACCCACTCCCTCTAAACCAGATGTTTGCCAATATTTTAACAACGCAGGTCTTTCCTGAAAAGGGAAAAAAAAATAGTAACACTAGCCACATTTTATTTTCTTTTCAAGCACAAGAGACTATATTAGATGGTAGTTGCAGCTGTTCTATGAAGAAGAAAATCATTTCAAGTGTTTTCATGTCCTTCTCACTGCAGACTTTTATTGTACCAGTTGTTTCTTTTTTTTTTACTTTTATTTTTTATTTTTTGGTTAAGTCTAGCTGAGATCATTTGGAATGCTCAAGATCACTACTAATACGTGTGTGTGCATGTGCCCATGCACACTCATCTTCACTCCCTATTTCATCCATATGAGGTACAAAGCACTACCTTTTTTTCCAAAGGTGAGAAGCTGAGCTACTTTATAGGATAGTTGAGAAAAAACCCTGTCATATTTCGATATTGTTTCCTCCATGCCACCTCCACCCAGTTCCACAAAAAAGGTTACTGGTTTTCAAAAAGAGGAGATAAATTGAGTGTATAAAAGTCATTTTTAGACAAAGATGAAATAGGAAATGAAACAAACCAGACTCTTTCCTCATTTGTGGATGGGCCAGCTCCACCACATCATTGTTAAACTGTAGGGAGGAAATACTATATTTTATTGCAGACAAGACTGCAAAAAACCTGCTGTGACAAGTCATCAAGACAAGGTAAGCAACAGCTGGGGTTTCAGTGGTCAAAGTATTATATACATCTGGCTCTGAAATATGAAATACTATTTAGCAATGTCACCTAGAAGAGTGTTTCAAAATGCTGATGCTTCATAAAAGCCTTTTCATTCAGAATTGATTGCTTTATCTTTCAAATTAGTGGAGGTGGAGAATAAAGTGATGTTTGGATGAAGAAATTCCACAAAGAACAGAGCGTTCACTTTTCATCTGGAGTAATAAACGGTTTGAACAAATGAGAAATGTTTAATATGTTAGAGAAAAGGTTTAGGTGAGCAGTTGGCAAAGGGTCACAAGGGAAGGAGAGGGCGATTTTTTTTCTATGTGAACTTCAGGGTGAAAGTTACAGGCAGGCAGGCAGACAGATTCTGGCCTCCGTTAAGAAAGATCTTTCCAACCACTGGGTTGGTTGTGTGGGCTGTGCAGCTTTGGAAACAAACGTTGGTTGAACAAATGTTTGTCGGAATTGTTGACCTGAAGAGCTATTCCGTCACTGGGTACAGCAGCGACTGGGTAGCCCCGTCCAAGGGGAGTGTGGAAGGTGTTTGTTCACCTGGTCAGAGATGAGAGCAGGCTAGGGGACTGCTGGGATCCCGACCAGCTTTGAGACCCGATGTTCACCTTCCAAGTAGCCCGTTCGCGGTCGTGCTCATTTCTTACCTTATTCTAAGGTTTCCACTTCAGCTTGCCAGGCTGGAAGCATGGGTCGACGCAGCCGCGCCGCGCTCGCGGCAGTCTCTCGACAGTAGCTTCTCCGGAGCCCCCCACCGCTCCGGAGTGGCGCCACCCCCGCCCATCCTAGACGTGCTGCCCAGCCTCTAACGTCCCGGGGTTAGAAAGCCTGAGGCCAGGGCGGCGCGAAACCAAACGGAGGAGGTATATCCTTGATTTTCCTCCTGGTGCCCAGCGGCAGCAGGCTCAGAGCTCCTTGAGATCTCGGGAAAAGGAAGCAGAACACTTGAGGAGAAGGGGAAGGCGATTTTTTTCTATGTGGACTTCAGGGTGAAGGAATACTTGAGGAGGAACACTTAAGAGCACTATACAGGAACAGAAAGGATATTTTCTTACAGTTAGTGGATCTTTGCAGAATAGGAAACTAAAACAAGAATTGAATTTCATATACCTATGTAGGGAAGAAATAAAAGCATTTGATCATTACTGAAAAAGTGAAATCACAATGTCTTTATTACTAGATTGCTTTCACCAACTGCTCAAAAGTGACAGATTTGAGGAAGCAACGCTGTGTTTCGGCTATCTAAAGCGTTAAGTTGGTTTGGGTTCCATGCTCGTGCCCCTGCCATCTGACAATTCTGTGCATTTGCAAACCGGTTCCATGAACTCCTCCCACATTTTCTGCTTTGGAAGACCTGTCTAGCCCTCTATGTGAAGTTCCTAGTCTTTCTATGTTCTGTTTTACCATGGCCCTTAGTTCTGTATGAGGCACATTTATTTTACACTTAATCACTTGAAGATCGTTCTACTAAATTGAAAAGGGGGAGGGATACAATGGAAGCCAAGTAGTTAAGCTTTCTTTATCCTTATGTTAGATTGTACCATATGATTTTACCAGTATTCAACCATTTTAACCTACAGAAAATGCCCAAAGCAGCAGTCTATTTCTTATTCTATTCTTGGTCTTAAAAATCTTTAAAATGTCTTAGTATTTTCCCCAGTCTTGGCTTCCCTCAGCTTTAGCCTGAAGTTGTTCTTAAAGGTACCTGAGCTTTTGCCTTGTACAGATCCAGTCCTTTCCATTTGATTAGGAAACACCCCAGTGGCACACACAGCATGCAAAGTTGTCATATGTATGAACTAGAACTTTATTTTTCTTGTGGTGGGCAGGGGATGCTACATTGAGGTCTTAAGACTGTAGAAATATTTTCACTTGAAAAAGGTCACTCAGCCGGGCTCGGTGGCTCAGCCTGTAATCCCGCGCCTTTGGGAAGCTGAGGTGAGTGGATTGCCTGAGCCCGCGGGTTCGAGACCCGCCTGGGCAGCAAGACCTCATCTCTACAATAAATTAAAAAAAAAAAATCAGCCGGGCATGGTAGCACATGCCTGTAATTTCGGCTATTCGGAAGGCTGAGGCAGAAGGATCGCCGGAGCCCAGCAGGTCGAGGCTGCGGTGGCCGGGAGCGGCCTCTGCACTCCAGTCTGGGTGACAGAGTGAGACTCCAACTCAAAAAAAAAAAAAAGAAGAAGAAAGAAAAAGGTAACTCTATTATTCCTAGGTAAGATGATAAAATTCCAATGAGGAGAAATAAGAGCATGATTTATGTAATCTTAACTGGCCCCACAAAGCTAGTTTAGAGATTATCAAAGACTGTTTGATGAAACATATTCCAATGACTACTTAACAATTAAAACCAAAGTGAGCCCCTGCTCTGTGCCCAGCAAAATGACCAAGGACCAAGGGCTAGGCAAACCACAACTGTAGGTAGAGCAAGCTGTACATCATGGACAAATGGTTTTGCTTTGCAAATGTGTTTGACATTGTACACATATGCAAACAGAGAAAAGGTGTTATTGCAAAGCTGGGATGGACAGGCAGAAAGAATAAGGGTTTTACTGAAATCACAAGGAAAGGCCAGGTTGGAGTTAGAAGTTGGGAAGAGAAGAACAGGCGACTGGTACTGCTCTGGTCTGTCATTGTCAATGAAGAGCATAAATACGGATGTGGGAATGTGTATTTTGTAGATGCATGTGCATGTGGTTGAAGTATACAGATGTGTGTGTCTGAAAGAGAGAAAACAGGCCTCTGTTAGGCTATTATAAATATAAAAATGTTTAACAGATCAGAACTCAAAAGCCTTGCTCAGAACATATGCTTTTCCATTTCCCCCATCATTCTCCAAAGTGATGTCTTGCAATAACTGGTCCTTGGTCAAGCAAACAGCTCAAAGAGCTAATATTTAGATAGTTGTAGTCCTGAGGTGGCCAAACAAACATTCCAAAATTAAGTAGTTTGTAATATCATTAAATGCACATCTATTTTAGGCATTTTTCTTGACAGAGATGCTTGGTAAAATTTCTAACATCGGTCAGAGACTGATTTTTAAAAAGTGATCTTCAGACAAAAGAACACAACTATATTTCTCAACCACTCACCAGAAAGCAGTAGAAGCTCCAGGCAGCAAGTCTTTGGCAGGAGTCAAGCTAGCTACCTCACAGTCTTTGTGCCCAGGGGCTGTGGACATCATTCAGTCTGGCATAACTAGCCCACTAAGCTGAGAGATATCCAATTCATCCACGATACGGTGGTCAGAGGAGAAACACCATGATATATTCTTAATATATATCAAATTCTTAATTCCAGTTGCTTAAACAGATGTGTTCAGTTGTAACCATGAGGACCAGTATAAAACAGCCAAAATTTGCCTGACGATGAAAATCACTTGGGATCAGAGAAAGCCACACAGTTTTATGACCCGTACATTTGCACAAAGCTCTGCGCTGAACAGTGTCATGCATCTGAGGTTCAATGCTTTGCAGTTGTGCTCTGTAACTGAAATCTGATGAAATAACAGAACATGTGCTAGGGACTTGGAACCACAGATCTCTGTAGCCCCACCTCTCACCACCTCCCAGGGGTGATTTTTCTATCTCCCACTCCTCTATCCCCAGTGCCTTAGCCACCCCTGCCTCTCCCTCCCCACACCTGCCCAGTGACCACTGCCACACCGTGGTGCTCAGACATCCTCCCTCTCCTGGTCCCTACCCAGCTACCATTTCTGCCCTCCCCCTCCAGGCAAAGGCCTGGGCATAGGCACAGGGAGGGTTCAAGTCGGATGCACATGTCCTATGCTATTTGGAATGAAGCATGGGCACATGGCTTCTCTGGGCCAGGAATGTGCCACAGGTAATTTGGAGGGCCAATGTCAAGGGCAAGGTTCTTGCCCACCTCCATTCCAAGTATAGGGCACATCTGGCATAGAAGTTGTAATTCCTTGGGCGTCACCTCTCCACCTTGATTGCTACAGAAGGCCAGTGGCAAGGGAAAACTGTCTTACCCTTCTTTGCTGGGGCCTAGCATCCTGTGGTTGGCAGAGAGGGAGTCCTAAGGGTGTGTGGGTGCTGATTCCAGGGTGTATCTTCTGGATACCTTTGAGGGTCTGCACTCTTCCAGTAAATACCCCCATGCTAGAGGGAGTAAAACATTAAATAGCAAGTTTTAAAACAAATAAGTAAATAGCATGATGGGTTTCGAGAGAGACTAAAGAAGAAAGAAATAATGTATTATATTTTAATATCTTCAATGAAACTTCTTTCCTGGCTTTTGAATAAGGGGCCCCATATTTTTATTCCTCAGTGAGCCCCACAAAGTATGTAGCCAGCCCTGCCTGAGTGAGCACTTTTAAAACACAAATATTACCAAACATTGAAAATTCTGATTCAGTGGGTATATAACAGCTCTCAAAATTATGCAGAGGAATATTCTGGAGAACTTCATTTTCCTCAGTCCCACCCACCAGACATTCTGATTAATTAAGTTTCTATAAGTCCCCAAATCTGCATTATACAAGCAACCCCAGATGATTCTACTGCAACTGGTCTACAAACCACACTTGGACAGATACTGGGCACCTAGGAGCACAAGTTCTGGAGTCAGACCTCACCACTAACTAAACTTAATGGAATTAATGTGTATCTCTAAACCTTAGTTCACTAATCTAAAAATGGATATATTAATATCACTTCATAAGGATATTATGTTGTGAGTATTAAATATCTGTAAGATACCACAATTACTGTCCCAGAGTAAACAATAAAAGTTCCAAAAATTCAGAAAGATTAAGTCTGGTTTGTATGCACACTAGTGTTTATTATATTATTATGTGCTTTTTCTGTATCTTTACAACTTTTTCAAAATAAAAAGCAACAGAAAGAGAGGGAGAGCCAGAGTATGAAAAGGAAATCAGAGGCCTCTAATGTGTCAGCCCGGTAAGTCTCCAGGAAGGAGGCTAGTGCTTCAGTGTCTAGGACATAGTAGATGTTCAGTAAGTTGAATTCATAACAAACAGGACAAGCTCCAAGGACCATCTGTTGCCCACTTAAAGGGGCTGAGCATCTCCGTTCCCTTGTTTATGAATAGCTTTAAGCCTAGGGCTATGTGTGCTTTTAGTAAAAGGGCAGGAGTTCAGGAAGAGTTAGTCAGCTCCTGAAAAGAGTTTACCAAATGTTGAGTGTGCCCTCTAGTGTTCACACTTCTCTGCTTTCGTCTTGAAAAGGTGGGTCAAGGGCCTTGCTGAAACCCTTTAAGTTGATCTAGACATTGAAGTGATGAAAATATTCACTGTCCTCTGTGATTATGCAATGAATATACAGTTAAAAGAATGAATTGGTCTCATATAATAATGCCCAGGCTCAATGCATAACTCAAAAATTGTTGTCCACTTTGCTGAAAAGTTAAGCACAGTTAAGTAAATCTCTTAGGGCAAAGGCAGCTTACTATTCAAGCAAAGGGGCGTTGAATCTGGATAAGGGAGAGTGGAAGGAGTGCGTGAGTCCTGCTGTTCCTCACTGTCTGAGTGGCTATAAGCAGAGATTTTGTGTAGGTCATAGGTTTTGTTTCATAATATTCCAGGTTGAAAAGTGCCTGACAAATCTTGAAAAATCAGTAGTTCATCTTTTTCAAGTGACCTGTACCAGAGATTTCCTTATGCAAAAACAGGAGACGGTAACAATTGATAATCTCAAGGAGTCAAGTCAGTGAGTTTCCTGATATACCTGCCGAATCCCCCATGGAATAATTTGTGCCATCAGAGAATCTGACTCACCTGGAAAAGAAACCCAAGGGTCCCAAATCACCAAAAGAAGCCATTGCTCAGATTCGCCTGTCTCTCACTGTATGTTCTCTTCAAGACAGTTATATAAATGACTTTTTAAATTGTGCTCCAGAAACACTAATTCATCTGCAAAGCTGACACTTTCCAGAAACATTTGATTTCTGCCAGCACCTAGAAGCCAATGTTTTGCCCACTCCTGTAACAAGCACACAAATTTCTTATTTTCTGGATCAGATATATTATGCAGTAAGATTCTTAATTTTGTTTCCACAGGTCCTTTTAAATGGTAAATTTGATGCATTCTGTGGAGGTTCCATCATTAATGAAAAATGGGTTGTAACTGCTGCCCACTGTATTGAACCTGGTGTTGAAATTACAGTTGTCGCAGGTAAATAAACAGAAAGGATAATCTGCAACACCACTAGATCTTCCATTTGATTGATTCATCATATTTTGCTAAAGTCAAATGGGATTGTTGCTGAACAAATTGGGCTATGGTAGAGGGGCCATAATTTCAAAACCTAATTTGCTTCATCCTCCAAACTCTCATAATTCTTTTGGTGCACTCATACTATCACTCATCTCAGTGGGGTACAATTACTTCTTGGTGTGTCCATTTCCCCATTGACTGAGCCTTCCCAAAAGCCAGTGTGATGTCATTAACCTTTGTATCTCTGGTACCTGGCACAACCTGTAGCAAGGCCTCAATCAACATTTGAACTAATGACCAAATGAATGTATGCTCAGAAAAGGGATCAGAATATTTGAAATTGGGAAAGGTCAGGATAATTCATGGCAATTGGATTCATTATCACCAATGTAAGATTTAAAACAGCATGGGTGAATGGAGCCATCTCTATGATGGCCCTGAATGGTTTTTTGGTCTAAAATATATGCACTGGCCTTCATTACATTTTACCAAAATCATCACACTATAAGATTGAGGTCTTTGACATCGCCGATTAAGCTAGTGATGCCAAGTAAGCACTTGGAAAATCTATTTCTTTATGTGAAAGATTGTTTGTGACTGAAAATGAAATTTATTTTCAATAGGCAAACATAATATTGAGAAGGTGGAACCTACTGAGCAAAAGCGAAATGTGATTCGAGTTATTCCTCATCACAACTACAATGCGACTATTAATAAGTACAGTCATGACATCGCCCTTCTGGAACTGGATAAACCCTTAACGCTGAACAGCTATGTTACACCTATTTGCATTGCCGACAAGGAATACACGAATATCTTTCTCAGATTTGGATCTGGCTATGTGAGTGGCTGGGGAAGAGTCTTCAACAGAGGGAGGTCAGCTTCAACTCTTCAGTACCTTAAAGTTCCACTTATTGACCGAGCCACGTGCCTTCGATCCACAAAATTCACCATCTATAGCAACATGTTCTGTGCTGGCTACCATGAGGGAGGTAAAGATTCGTGTCAAGGAGATAGTGGGGGACCCCATATTACTGAAGTGGAAGGGACCAGTTTCTTAACTGGAATTATTAGCTGGGGTGAAGAGTGTGCAATGAAAGGCAAATATGGAATATATACCAAAGTATCTCGGTATATCAACTGGATTAAGGAAAAAACAAAGCTCACTTAGAGAAAATTGTATTTCCAAAGTTGATTCATTTGGATTGGAAACGGGCAGAGCCTCTTACTAATGAATCACTTTTCCATCTTTTGTTAGATTTAAATATATACAGTTTATGAATACTGCTTTCTCTCTTTACAGGGAAGAATTTCATCTAGAATTCATATTTTACTAGCATAAATAGTTTAGCAAATTAAATCATTAGAGAAATATAATGCGGTAGGAAATTGTGACCATTCCTATGGGTCCTTTAAAAATTGTGATTAAGTTTTCCACCCTGCCCATCAACTACTGGGGTTCTCTACTGTGGCAATTCACCTGATTCTCTCTCCTTAGAAGCAATCCATGTCTTAGATCTTCTTTGTCTCTCCCACAAAAACACCAATGTGAATTAGTTATATATGCAAGATCTTTGGTCTATTCCATCACAAGACCAGCACCACACTCATGAAAAAAGAACGAGCTGCTGAAAGGTTAAAATTCATCAAAAGCACTACTTATTTTCCTCTACCCTTATTGCTGAATCCCTGAACACTTTTTTTCCAACTCCCAATCCCCAATCCAGCTTTTCTCCTTCTCATTTCCTCTCTTTTTCCCTCCACAGTCATTAAAGGAGAGAAAGGAAGTGTCATGCTGTTTTACTGCTGTACACAATTATACATGTTTATCAATCCCAGACTTGCTTTCGGTTTGGTCTCAGACTTGATTTTCAGAACATAGGGATGAAGTAAGGTATCTGAAGAATTTGGGGAGAAAGTTTCCTTTAGAGAGTTATAAACATATATACACACATATGGAAAGCAATGAACCATTCAGAATAGTTCCCTAAGAGCTTGTTAGGGAGGTCTGACAGAGAATGGTTTCATGAAGACAAGACTGGCATGCCATTGTAACTAAGAAAGCTGGCATTGACCCAGGTATATTGTCCCTGCCAGAAAAAGTAATAATAATAATAATAATAATAATAATAATAATAATAATAACAATGCTAACAGAAAGAAGAAAACAGTCTGTTAGAAACCTAGAACTAGTAGAGTCTTCAAGGAAGAATTTCACACTGTGTCTCCAGAATTGTCCAGAGTCAAGCAACAAGTTGCCTAGACCAGAGTTCATGTCTTCTTGACTAGCATACCCCTGCAGTGGAGAAAGGTACAATAGACTCAAAGACGAGTCATTCCAATCAGCCAACTATGTCCCCCTTTTCTGATTTCATGTTTACCAAGTAGCTTTTTGATTATAATTAAATCCTTCTATACTGAATTTTCTAGAAAGTCATTGACCAACTAACATGTTTCCCTTTGTGAATTAATGAACTGGTGTTCTGGTTCATACCTTGACTTTTTGTGAGTTTGATGTAAATCAGTCACCCTGTATTAAATGAAACATGGGACTCTACTGACAAAAATCATATTTTGGATGATTTTGACTCCACCAAGTTGCTTATTTCCATGTCCTCACCTCATCCCCAACCAGGTCTCACTCTAGCTGATTTCCTTCAAGTTCTTCTAGTTAGTACCGTTTTAATTTAGTCTTTCACACATAAGTATCAATAAATGTATTTTTAAACTTCTCAGAGTGCTTCTTATTAAGTCATTCACAGAGATGTATCTCAAACACTACATTCAGCAAAACACTCAGAAAAAAATGTGTCCAAATACAATACAATACAGAAGAGATTTGATGCTCTATTATAGTCTAACCTTCAATAAGGCAGTGTGAGATATGTCCCAGAGAAGACACTGGTCTAGATCTACCTGGGACAGAATTGAGTCTAACTAGCTGTGAGTAATTTATCCTCCATTTGGGAATTTGAGTTCTCCATTTGTATAATGAGGGAATTTGACAGGATGCTCTCCAAAGGCTCTTGTGATTTTGACAGTCTGTTATATCAATTCTGTCCCATTTCTTTATGCAACAAATATTCAATAAGTGATTACTGTGTGCCAAACACCAATAACACTTATTAGATTTGAATTCACACTTGCATATTTTGAGAGTTAAATAATGTATGTAAATCGCTTTGGTACGATTTACATTTCTGTAAATGTAAATCAGTTTCTGCTACACTACCACACAGGAGTTGCTCAATAAATGTTAGCTGAATCTGAATCCATGTTTATCTCAGAGTAGCAATTATTCTTCCATTATCATGAAAGAAAACCATACTTAAATAAAAATAATGCCTGTGGTTTATATTTCACAAACAAATAAAAGAAATCCGTTCTACTATTGTTGGCTAAAAGAGGAAAAGAGAGAGGAGACACTATAATTGTCTGCCTTAGGTTTAAGAAGGATGCAAATTCATGCATAAAACATGTTACTTCAAATTTGAATGAATGAAGGACTATAGCCCCAGTACTCTTCAATTAGTAAAAGTGAGATGCTCTGGTCTTGTTGCCATAGAGATCACCCCTTGCAAAGGCAGCAATGGAAAACTCGTCTCACATCTCCTGTGATTGGTCTTTCCTGTGGCAGAGGGAGGAGCTTCCGGACCCCTAAATCTCTGAGCCACAGTTCTCTTTTTTCCCATGAGCTCAAAATTGACTGAATTCATCATGAGCCACCTGTGGCATATTGTCATCACAAAACATGCAGGGCCTTTAAGCTTACCTAAGAGCCAGTGACTTCAGAGGCAGGCCCTAGGTGGTTTCTACCTAAGGCATTGGCAGTCACCACGTAGGAATCATTAGTGCTTTCAAAATCGCTGTAGCTACTTAACCTAAATAGGCTGAAACATGCTGCTGTAATATTGAAAGTGACAGGTTAAAATAGAACTCTTGCTGAGTGAAGGAAAGTGTGTTAATATAGTGCAGTCATTTTAACTTGCTGTTTAAGTATAATTGTTTTTGGTACTTTTGAACATTAGTTGCTTTCTGGTGATAGGAACAACGTACTGTCCAATTTTCTTTGCCAAAGAAAAAAGAAAGGATTTTCTCCCTTACCTTCCTGAACAATGACAGACCAGTTTATAAAATTGCCTAATTATAATCTCTAAATAATTTCTGAATGTTTAATGTACAATCTAAAAATGTCAGAGATGCAAAGGCCCTTAAACATCATCCAATTCACTCCACCCATTTAGCAGATGAGATTGAGACCAAGATAAGTCCAGGCCCAAGTTAGCACAATGATGCAGCCAAGACTAGGACTCAGGATTCTCATCCTGCACTATGAAAGCACAATGCTTTCCATTGGAGTACATTAACGCTAGTGTCTATATTTTTAGGTCAGCTAGGGCATTCTGCATTATTAGAAATCCTTTCAGCAAAGCTGAAAACTGCCTGGAATTCTTGCTAGTGATGCTGTAATTGACAAGCAGGTGACAAAATCAAGAATACCAATATCCTGGAAGGCAGAGTAACAGTCAAAGAACAAACTAGGCCTGCAATCCCTGCCTCATAACAGGTACTCAGTAAATACATGTAGAATGAATGCGTGGTGCTAGTGTCTGGCATTTAACCCAGCTGTGAACACTAGCCCTCCCAGATGTGACATCTGACTTCCAGAGCACATTCATCAGTGTCATCTGGCACACAATTATTCCAGCAACATTTCAACTTCATTCATTTGCAACTATGCTGGGGAAGACACGTGTGGCACACCGAGACAGCAGGCTACTCCAGAAGCTATTGTTTGAGGGCTGAAGTAAGGCTTCTAAAGGCCCACTGAAGCTGGAATTCTAACAATGTGGTGCAGCTGTGGATGACTGAGAACCAGACTAAAGCTGCTGACAGGCCTGAGTAAAGCAATCAGGAATAAGAGCTCCTTTTCAATCTGAGGCTTATGCCATCTAGAAATCTCAGGGGTAGCCAGGCTCAGTGGCTCAGCCTGCAATCCCATGCCTTGGGAGGCTGAGGTCAGTGGATTGCCTGAGCCCAACAGGTTCGAGACCCCCCTGGGCAACTTGGCGAGACCTCATCTCTACAATAAATCAAAAAAATCAGCCGGGCATGGTAGCGCACGCCTGTAGTTCCAGCTATTTGGAAGGCTGAGGCGGAAGGATCGCCGGAGCCCAGCAGGTCGAGGCTGCAGTGTCCAGGAGCGGCCACTGCACTCCAGTCTGGGTGACAGAGTGAGACTCTAACTCAAAAAAAGAAAGAAAGAAAGAAAGAAAGAAATCTCAGGGTTAAAGTCACAAACATCTGCATGATCTGCAAACCACAGAGACTATTGAAGGAGTCACAGGAGGCAAAGGACTGTGAAACCCCTGTTCTTTTCGACCAATCCAGGTCTACAGATCACTCTACTCATTTTTTCTTATAGAAGTCTCAAGGCAGACCTTTTTCGTCCTGTCCTTGGGTGGCTATGAACTACATTGAAAGTTCTAAGTTAATCTCAGCTTCTAATATGCGTAAAGGCATCAAAAGGGAAGAAGAACAGGCAGACCCCTTCTAGGACATATCGTAGGTGCCAAAAATGTATTCACATTTTAAGAAATGTCATCTATGTATTACTTTTATTTTGCCATAATCAGAAGTGTCTGGATGCTGATGGTAACCAGTTCGAGCACCTCTTGTAATTGCAAGAGTCAAATGTAGCTTGTATTCATTTTTTGTTATCAGTATATATTGATTACCATTTTAATACAGTTTTCCTGTTCTTAAAATGTGCATACATTTTGGCACCCTCTGTGTAAATATATATATATATTTCTATATTTATACATAGATATGTGCATATGTGTGTATGTGTATTTGGGGGTCATGACCCCCTACAAAACAGAATTTATTTTTCTTACATGTTTAAACTTCAGTCATCATCAAAGTATTCTCTGTTTGATGCAATATACATATTGAGATTTTTTTCCACCACTCAAAACAGTTTTTGAACTTGTCAATTTTGATGCCTTTTAGTGTTTTTGCCATTTTTTGTTTTACTTCTTTCACATCAGCAAAATGTTTCCCTTTGAGAACTTTTTTCATCCAAGGAGAAAAAAAGTGGCTCAAGGTAAGATGGGTGAACAGGGAGGATGGGGCATGGAGGTCATGTAGTTTTTGGTCAAAAACTGCTGAACACTCAGCGTGATGTGAGCAGCTGCACTGGTAAATCACCCATGATGAAATGGGCAAACACTTGAAAGAATCTCCAAAAAAAATTCACTGAAGCCGAACACAGCCTCTCACAACAACACTAGCTGGTACACCGATGTTGATGGGTTCCTAGGACACTTGCCTAGTGGGAGAAATAAAATTCCTGTAGCCAAGAAACCTCATAATGAGGTTTAACATCTGAACCAAACTGTTTTCTTGGCTACAGGGATTTTATTTCTCCCAATATGTCTCCCATATTTTTCATTGTCCAGTTCTCTTCCTAATACTGTTTCTACTCATAGATGATCATGCCCAAAATTAGAATATCGGCTTCCTTAGTTTAGAAAATGCCAATTTGAGTAAATATGCTTTTTTTAAAAGGCAGGTACATATTACCCAGTGGTGAGATTGTTATATTTCATACATCTTAGCACACTCTAATAAAGAATTTCAGAGAACACTTACTATGTACCCAGCACTGTATCTGTCTCCTAAGGCACAATCAATGGTATGCTGTAATTGGCATGTACTAACTCACCAAAGCCAATGTAAAAAGACAAGCTTCAGACAAAATAAATTCAACAGAGCTTATTTGAACAAAGAACAATTCATGCATGGGACGGCACTCA